TTTTACGTATTCAATTTCATTTTTGAAAACATTCCGTTTTCTTAGATTCATACTTTAAATATTGCATGGTCCATTTATTTATGGAGATTTGTTGCTGTTTAACTTCATTTTTTTTTCAGTAAGTTTGAACCTGAGGGGCTTATCTTCCAGCACTGAATCTAACAACTTTTCTCTATTATTCATAGAGTTTTCAAAGGCCTATTAAATTTCAACATCAAGAAAACGAACATCTTTACCAAGTGACAAATAGAAAACATGATGATAGATGGAGAGAATAATGAAGTAGTCAACAGCTTCATTTTACTTGTCATCATATTCAATACCCTTAGTAACAGCACTCAAGAAATCAAAAGAAAGATGTATTGCATTGTGAACAGCTGCTCCCAGGGACCTCTTTAAAAGTACTTTATAAGTACTTTAAAAGTCAGAATGCCACTTTAAAGATTAAAGTGCACCTGATGCAAACCAGAGTATTTTCAATTGTTTCCTCTACACGAGTGTTGGAAAATGCATACGGAAGAATAAAGAATGTATACCTTTTAACTGTAGTGTTTGAGTAGAGTACTTACTATCCCATGGACTGCCAAAAGAACAAATAAATCTATTTTGGAGGAAGTACAAACAGGCCACTTTCAGAATCAAGGATGTGAAACTTCATCTCATATGATTTGGGCATGTTGTAAGGAGGATCCAATCTTTAGAAAAAGACATTATGCTGGAAAAGGTGGAGGGTCAGAGATAGAGAAGTAGACCCTCAAGAAGATGGACTGGCACAGTGGCTCTAAGACTGGACTTGAGCAGAAAGTTTGAAAGTCAGTTAAGTATCTGACTGAGATTTCTCGTGGAGTGCACTTTCCTTATCTGTAGGAAGAAGAGATTAAATATTAGCTATTTTATCTCTTTCTCTGGTCATAGAAATCGTAGCTTAGTTCCTGACTTCTTTAGAACACAAATGTATAACGAATTAAACTATGTAGGGAGCTCTAGTGGCTTAGTGGTAAGGAGTGTGTTGTCACCACAAAGGTCATGGTTCGAATTAACCAGCTGTCCTTCAGAAGATGGGCAATGTCCTGTATGATTTAATGCCTCTGAAAACTGGGTGGCAGGTCAGGTATGTGTCAGTTCTGACTCAATAGTACTCAACAACACCACCAGGTTGAAAATAGAGCTACTTTTAACAATCTTTCCAAGATCCTTGCTGATTCTGAGGAAGAAAGTACAAATGGGTAACTAAGTATGGAATATAAACTAAAGGCAAACAAACAAAACATAATAATATCCAGCTCTACAAAGAACAACTGAATTCCTTTGCTTAAAAGGAATTACACTGGAGGATTCCAAGATGGTGGTGGTGGCAGAAACAGCATGGCAAGCTGTGGGAGCAGTGGACCACATGGAAGAGGGCCACCATGGCCTTCTACAGACCTCTGTTTATTGATAATTGAACAGTTAAACAGTTGATGACTGGTCTTCGGTGAGGATCGAGACTCAACATCAGGAGATCAAGGATTCCCAGGGAGGAATGGGTGAGTCCTGATGCTCTCATCCCCCTGCTGCCGAGCCTATGCCGCTGCAGCTCCATGAGGCTCCCACTGCTGGACCCCAGGGATCCCCTCACCTGGGATGGATGGTAGGCACCCCCCTCCCCCAGTCTGGTGAAGTGGAGCAGCCACACTGACACAGAGTGGACTTGTTCTGGGGAGAATTCTTGGAGGCAAGATGGCTGCAGTGGGAGACACAGTGGCAGGTTGGGGTTTGCTTGGGCATGCCAGAGAGGAAGATCACCAATACAATGGTTTGATGAGAGTCAATGTGAGCTGTCTACGACTTGACAACACTTAACAATGGCAGCATATCCAAGATGGCAGATATCCTCAATGCACCCCATCTCTTGATCTGTTGACTGCATCTGCCAAGAACTGTTTAGGTCTGGGGGGGTCTGTTCACCACTCTCAGGTCCCCTTCTCCATTTATAAAGGGGGAGGGCAGTATGACCACTTATTGGGGAGGGAGTAATCGTGGAGGTGGCAGAATTGGGGATGCTGTCCCTGGCCACATGGTCTTCAGTGACATGTGGAGTGTGCCAGCCAGACCCTAGGGTGTGTCGTCCAGCCCTCGGGGGGGGGGGTGCTATCCAGCCCTCAGAGTGGGCTATTTGGCCCTTGGGGAGAGCTGTTTGGCCCTTGATGTGAGATGCTTGGCCCTCAGGGTGAGCTGATCAGTCCCTGGGGTAAGCCATTCGGCCCTCTGGGTGAGCTGTTTGGCCCTTGGGGTGAGCCATTCAGCCCGGGGGTGAGCTGTTTGACCCTCAGGGAAAGCCATTCTGCCCTAGGGTGAGCCATTCAGCCCTCTGGGTGAGCCGTTTGGCCCTTGGGGTGAGCCATTCAGCCCGGGGGTGAGCTGTTTGACCCTCAGGGAAAGCCATTCTGCCCTAGGGTGAGCCATTCAGCCCTCTGGGTGAGCCGTTTGGTCCTCGGGGTGAGCCGGTCCTTGGGGTGAGCTGGCCCTTGGGGTGAGCTCCTCAGCCCTCAGGTGGTGTCATCCAACCCCTAGGTAGGATGTACAGAGAATTTTATCAAGGCTACTTTCCTCCACCCTTTCCCCCAGGACACCCATAAGAACACCCCAAAAGCCCTATTACTTGTACCTCACAAGTTTGTTCTCTCTAGGTTTGCTCCCTTTCCTATAGGTAACCTTAACAATGAGTTTTACTCCAGACCTGACCCTGAACCCAGTTCCAGAGACAACAAGGAAATACAACTGGCAGCTAAGGAAGCAAGGGAGGATGGAGCCTCAGGGTTCAGTTAGCCATCCCCACTGTACCCACCTGGGAAAAAACTTTGCAGTCCAGAGAGGAGTAAATGTCAGGAAAATATCTTCTAACAGAGCAAGAAGGCAAGTAGCTTTAACCCAAGACCACCAGTAAGGTGATAAAGTGTGCTCCCTTTCCCCCTTCACATCAATGCCTCTGTTCAGCATGAAGAAGCCAGATAGTCTGTGTTCAATTCCCAAATGAGAAACCCACAAGTGAATAAGACAGTTTGTTTAATCACCATTGGACTATGCTTACCATTGCCCTGTATCATCTGATCCCCACTGGATCCTTTTCATTTCCTTCAGCTGCTCCCCCCACCAACCAAATTGTGCAGTCCTGCAACTGCATCCTTGCAATTTCATCCCTGCCCATTGTCACCCTTCTGCACCCAACCCTCATCTCCTTGTATCCCAACATGTTTTTACCAATAAAATAAAAAAAATACACTGTAAGAAAGGTGATCTTCATAGATGTTAATGATACAAATCTTGCTGAAGATCACCCAGGGATGGTTAGAATAAACAGTGTATCAACAGAGCAATGTCAGATGTTCAAGCTGGATTTAGAAGACTCTATTGGCACCACACATATCATTGCTAACATAAGATGGATCTTGGCTGAAAGCAGAGAATACCAGAAGGATGTCTAGTTGTATTTTATTGACTATGCAAAGGTATTTCATTGTATGTATCATAACAACTTGTAGGTAACATTGGAAAGAATGAAAATCCCAGAACATTTAATTGTGTTCCTGCCAAATCTATACCTAGACCAGGAAGCTGTTGTCCGAACAGAACAAGAGAACAGTGAATGATTTAAAATAAAAAAAAAGGTATATGCCAGGGCTGTATCCTTTCTCTATATCTATTCAGTCTGTATGCCGAGGAAATAATTTGAAAAACTGGACTCCTCAAAGAAGAAGGTAGCATCAGAATCAAGGAAGGGTCATCAACAACTTGTGGTATGTAGATGACATAACTTTGCTTGCTAAAAGCAAGGAGTATCTGAGGTACTTACTGTGAAAGGGCAAAGGCTACAACCTTCAATATGCATTGCATCTCCACAGCAATAAAACTAAAATGCTGACCAACAGGGCCAATGTACAGCATCATGATCAATGGAGAGAGAACTGAAGTGGTTAACAATTTTATCTTTCTAGGATCCACAATCAATACTCTTGGCAACAGAGTGAAGATATAAAAAAATTGTGTTGCAATGGGGAAATATGTGGTTGAGGACATCTTTAGGGTACTGAGGAGCAACAGTGTAAGCATGAGAAATAAAGTATGCCTGGTACATGCAGTACTCTTCTCCAGAACCACAGGTGAAAGGCATCAATTCTCCTTCTATCATCCCTAGTCATCGTCCAGCTCTCTGATGCATAGCAAGTTATTGCAAAGACCATGGCCTGTAAAATTCATGGTATTTTAAATTGCTTCCAATGCATCTAAAATCTGGATGCTGACTCAAGATGACAGCAGAAGGACCAATGCCTTTGAGATGAAAGAGTACCAACTATTCCATGGACTGCCAAAGAACTAACACCCTCTTAGAGAGAATCAAAAGGTGATTCTTTCTTAAAAATTTTTATTTTATTATTTTTTGTGCATGTACCATCAAATCAAATCTGACTGGTACAGGAGGAAATTATCCCTCCTTCTCTAGCAGAGCATCTGGTGGATTTGAACCTTGTACCTTTGGGACTGAAGTACAGCTTCTTGCCACTAGGCCACCAGAGCTTCCCTCAAGGTGATTCTTAGAGTGAAAGATGAAGAAAATCCACCTCACATATTTTGGGTATGTTGCCAGGAGAGGCCAGTTCCTGGAGAAGGGCATCTTGCTTGGAAGGAAAGTGAAAGAGAGGACGACCCTTGACTAAATGGATTGGCACAGGGTCTGAATCAATGGACTCAAGTGGAGCAGGGAAGGTGATGATGGCACAGGATAGGATGGGGTTTACGGCTGCTGTTCAGAGCCACTATGAGTCATGTCTATTTGATAGCACCACAACCTACAAAGGAGGAAGGGTCAGAAGGCAGGTAGACAAGAAGTGAGTCATTAATATTTTTTCATCATTAATAAGTTTACAATAACCCCTCAACTAAAACCTTTGACCTTCAAGTATCAAAACATACAAAGTAGAATCTTTCTATTTTTGTTTCATTTATGAAAAACCCTGAGTTACCTTCAAAGTCCACATCTCCTGTTAATCTTGTCCTTCCTGTCATTGGATCTTGGACATAGTTGATCCCCACATCAATCACAGCAGCACCTTCTTTAACCATATCAGATGTAATCAACTTGGGAATACCTGCAACAAATCAGACCTGTGAAACACTCTGTGTAGTTCTCCAACTTTGATCATAACAAAGACTTATACTACTAATGCTTTTTTTTTGGTTATACATTAGAAGATGGGTAAGGGGAACAACCAACCCAAAACCAAACAACTTGCAATGTTTCTAAGGTGAACAAGTGAAACTGGTGGGGAGTTAAGGTCCTATACTGGGTTGAACTGAACTAATATGGTTGACTAGAGAACATATACATGGTATGCTCTCTTCACATCATACCAGCTGATTTTCAAGAATGAGTTCTAAGGGGGGGGGGGAAGTTACCAGTTGTTTAATGCCAGAGCCTGGAAAACAGCACATCACTGGTGATATATTGTATTGACAAAGTAATGATGACTGTCTCCTGGTCCAAGTATAAGTTTTGCACAAGCACAATCAACTTTCTGGGATTCCCATTCTTCTCAAGGTTAGCCACAATTTGTTGTGATCTATATAGTCAAATGTCTTTGTATAGTAAGTGAAAGACAGATAGACATTCCCCTGGTACTCTCTACTTTTAGCCAATACCCATCTGACTTTGGCTATAAATACTCTAATGCCACAGACTCTTCTAAACCCAGCTTGTATTACTGGTTTTTGTTGTTGTTGTTATGTGCCGTAGAGCCGCTTGCGACTCATAGCGACCCTATGTACAAGAGCCCTAAACTCTGCTCTGTCCTGTGCCAATCGCACTGTCTCTGACACTCCCATCCCGTTACCCCAGTCACTGAATCAATCCACCTCATAGAGGGCTTTCCCCTCCTGCGCTGTCCCTCCACCCTCCCAAGCATGATGTCCTTCTCCAAGGACTGGTCTCTCCTCACAACATGTCCAAAAGTATGTTAAACGGAGCCTCAGAATCCTTGCCTCCAAGGAGCCACCCGGTTTAACTCTTTCCAGGATGAATCTGCATGTCTTCCTAGCAGTCATGGTATTCTCAATATTCTTCTCCAGCACCACAGCTCAAAGGCATCAATTCTTCTTCTGTCCTCCTTGGTCAATGTCCAACTCTCTGATGCATAACAAGTGATTGTGAAGACCATGGCCTGTATCAGACACACCTTAGTCTCCAGAGAGACACCATTGCTCTTCAGTACTTTGGAGAGGTCCCTAACAGCAGACTTTCCCATGGCAATGCACCTTTTAATTTCCTGGCTACTGGTGCCAAGAGTGTTGACTGTGGAGCCAAGCAAACTAAAGCTGTGTACAATCTCAATCTCTTCACCATCCATCCTGATACTGCCAACTGGTCCAGTGGTGAGAATCTTTGTCTTCTTCACATTGAGCCTCAATCCGTATTGGAGGTTTCAGTCCTTGACTCTCTGCAGCAGGTGCTTCAGGTCCTCTTCAGTAAGCAGGGTTGTGTCATTTGCATAACGCAGATTGTTGATAAATGGTCCACCAATCTTGACCCCATATTTCTCCTCATAGAGCTCAGCCTCCAGGATAATCTGTTCTGCATATAGGTTGAAAAGGTAGGGAGATAGGACGCATTACTGGTAGTACCCTTTTAATGTACTAGTAATGTACAGGATAATCTTCTATAGGATTTTGCTTGTGTGTGATATTAGTAATGTTTGTTATTGTTATCTGCCATTGAGTCATCTGTGATTCATAGAGACCTTATGTACAACAGCCCTAATGCCTGCTCTATCCTGTGCCAATCTCACTGTCTACCCTCATTATCCCAGTCACTGAAGCAATCCATCTCATCGAGAGTCTTCTTCTCCTGCACTGTCCCTCCATCCTCTCAAGCATGATGCCCCTCTCCAAGGACTGGTCCCTCCTTGCAACATGTCCAGTGTATGTTAGATGAAGCTTCAGAATCCTTGCTTCTAAGAAGCAGCCTGGTTTCACACTCTCCATGATGAACCTGTTTGTTCTCTTAGGAGTCCATGGTATATTCAATATTTTTCTCCAGAACCACAGCACAATGGCATCAATTATCCTTTTACCATCCCTTGTCATTGTCCAGTTCACTGATGCATAGTATGTGATTTCAAAGACCATGGCCTGTATCAGGTGCACCTTAGGCTCCAGACTGACATCGTTGCTCTTCAGTACATTAGAGAGGTCTCTGACAGTAGACTTTACCAATGCAATATATCTTTTAATTTCCTGGCTGCTGGTGCCATAAAGTTGATTGTGGAGCCAAGCAAACTAAAGCTGTTAACAATCTCAGCCTCTTCACCATTGATGCTGCCAATTGGCCTAAAGATGAGAATCTTTGTTTCCTTGATATTGAGCATCAAACCATATTGAAGGTTGCAGTCCTTGACCTTCTGCAGCAAATGCTTGCAGATTGTTGGAAATAAATTAATTTCCATATTGTCTGTCAACAACCTGCAATATTCAGATGATACAACCTTGGTTGCTGAAATTGAGGAGGACCTGAAGCATCTTCTACAGAAAGTAATGGACTGTTGCCCCGAGTATGAATTGAAGCTTAAAATCAAGAAAATAGTCTAACAATTGGGAGAAGATCTTGAGATTGTTAACATTTCAGCTTGCTTGGCTCCACAATCAATACTCTTGACACAGCACAAGCAGTCAGAAAATCAAAAGATGAATTGCACTGAAGATGTCTGCTATCAGGGACCTCTCCAAAGTACTAAAGAGCAATGATGTCAGTCTACAGACTAATGGGTACCTGATACAGGCCATGGTCTTTGCAATTTCATGTTATGCATCTCAGAACTGGATAGCAACTAAGGATGACAGAAGGAGAATTGATGCCTTTGAATTCTGATGCTGGAGTACTACTGAAAATATTATGGACTGCCAGAAAAAAACAGCTCTGTCTTGGAGAAGGTGAAAACAAGTTTCTCCTTGGAGGCTAGGATTTTTGAAGCATCTCAAAAATGTCTCATTGGACACTTGGCCAGCAAGGGCCAGTCTTTGGAAAAGGACATCAAGCTTAGTGGGTGGAGGAACAGCGCAAGAGTGGAAGACCCCAGAAGAATCAGATTGATTTGGTATATGGAGCAATGGGATTAGATGTGTTGGAGTCAGTGAAACTGGCTCAGGATAGATCAGGGTTCAGAGCTACTGTACATAGGGTCACAATGAGTCACAGGCAACTTGATGGCACATAAGAATAAAAACACATAATAACAGTCCATGTAGACTTAAGAGGAAAGAGTAGAGATCGAATGTTTTAATGAAAAGAGAAACAAAATCAATGAATCTGCAACCATCTTTACTCTCCCATCATGACATTAGTGAGAAGTTGGTGGGAAACTCTCTGGTAGTTAGAAATAAATAAATTAATTTCCATATTGTCTGTCCTTTACAGGTAAAGGGCCACCTACAGTGTTGCCAGAGGCTTTGTTCTGACTTTTATACTATATA